TGTAGGGCCCTCAAAAGAAAGAGGCTACTGGGGAGGGTGACATGAGTCTGAATCAGTGTAGGTGAGGGAACACCAAAACTCTGACACAGATTCTAGCTGAGGGAACGAGCATTATCAGACTTTTGAGCCTCTAAAGCAGATTTAGCAAGACATTCAATCAAAATTGAGAAATATAATATCAAGAAACTGCATTACATCCCACTGTAACTGTAAGGAAATAGGAGCCATCACTGAGTAAAGAAACAGTTTAGGGTGGGGAGGGTGTGAGGAAACCATTAAGAACTTCCTCTGGGCTTGCACAGAGCCAGTTTAAAAGCAGGGACCTGTCAGAAAGCAAAGATGTTACCAAGAATCTGTGCAGCGTAACAGAGGAGATACTACAGTCCTGGGCTTATTTCTGAGGCAAACAGGAGCTGAAGTAAGATGCAAGCAAAAAAATCAGTGGGGAAAACTGCCTCTTCAAATCTCTGTGGAGCCCAGCAGGAAAGCTTGGCGACACCCACACTAATATTTCAGATACAGAGACACAGATTGGAGAAATTAAACTGAGCATATGAGAAAGTTCCTCAGGAGAGGAGCACCAAGGGCAGAAGGTAGGTGATATGAAGTCCATCGGAGTTCTAAACAACGAAAACCCATGAGTTCAGTGGTGGGTTTTTTTAAAGCTCAGACATTATCAGGCCTCAGTTTTCTGCAGCATGTCACCATTCACTGATACAAACATCCATAGAAATGCATCTTTGGAGCAACCTTCAGGATATAGGACAGACACAAAACAGAGCAGTCATGACCACTGGGGTCACTGCTTACAGGCCAGGCAGTGAAGAAACCACTCCTAAGAACACAAGCTGCTAGGACACCTGTGCATGTCACTGTGAGCCAGGAGCCACCAGAAGCAGCTTCCACAGACTCGGGACATGGAGGGCAGCAGAAGAGGAAGATGACTCAGAACTGCATTCAAACAGCTAAGTCAGAGGATTCTCAGCATGAAAATCAAAGGCAGGGGAACGGGAGGTAGACAGACCTGTTTATCTCATCCTAAAAGCAGCACCCTGTAACAGAGACACTGGTATCGATCACTAGACCACAGCCCTTGTTTGCCCACCAGAAGTAGTTAAGACCTACAACTCCAGCCATTTTTCACTCACAGGATGCATTAGTTCAAAGTATTCGGTTTTTCTCCACCATTGGAAAGGGATTCCAGAATTGATAAACAGGAGAGAGAAGAGCACCTCACATTATTAAGTTGATCTAATTCTTTCTCAATGGTACAGAAGCTTCTACTACAATATTACCCTGACTCAGATTAGGCTCAAGTCAAGCTCTCAGCCTGGATACAGTTTACATTCTTTATCTGTTTGTCTGAAGACTTGTAAGTTGTTTCTTTGCAGGATTTGTTTTGGTTTTTTTATATTGGATCTTCTGAAGTTAATATACATTAATCAAAGATATTTTCAAACCAGTGTTGGTGGAATAGTTTGACAACACTAAGATCAGATTCCGAAAAATGTTTAGCGAGAAACTGATCAAAACTATTTCCTGAGAGTTTACTCCACCTTTACACCTGAAAACATTAGTTAGTTTCATCTAAACAAACTAACTTCTAGATTCAATTCTCCACTTCAGATGGAGGTGGCCATGTAATTTGTATCACAAGTGCACAGATTAATTTAGTTAGATGAACTTTGTTTTACATGGAGCCTTGGAAGTGTATTCATCCACAGAAAGCAGCCAGAATTAATATGAGAATTGCTAGCAGAATTACAGCAGTGCCAGTTCTCTAAAATCAAACACAGAATTTATGCAATATTCTGCTGTCACAGACCTGATGATATAGCCACCCTTCATCACATAAAGGGTAACAGCATCCTAATTAAGAACTGAGGCCTTATGTTCCACAGAAGCAAACTAATGAATTGACTATGAAGATGTCATAAAGTGGGATGTGACCATGATATTTTGCTTTGTGGATAAACTAGTGTCAGTAAACAATTTATTTAATGTACAAGTCATGTGGTATGGGCTGCAGTGGATTTATAGCTGCTTGCATTTTAGAATTGTCGTGTCTCAACAGAATAACTATTGCCCTGGCTATCATACAAGCCTGCTATACTGCTGCTGGAACCGTAAACATATTCTCATTAGTGGTCCATGGCAATTTATATCAGAGAATAGCTTGTGTCACACCATAGACTGAAGAGCTGCTGCTGTGCAGCCAAATGTTAGCTTTTTTAACCAGATCTGTAACAATCTGGCTACTTTGTCACAACAAAAAAACCCTTCTCTATGAAGGGAAAGATACATAGATAGCTATATTATTTATGGTTTACAGAATCAAAGGGTCAAATCCCACGAGCATTCTATGCTTAACTCAGAATATTCCCAAGTAAACATTTTTAATGCCTACCACCTAAATTATATAAATTTTAGTTTACCTATCACTCCTGAAGTATCATTAAACAGTTACCAAGCCAAGGACACAAACAAGAAGACAAAATTGGAAATCTTTATCTACTTTCAAAGTGGAAGGTCAATGTATGCAAAACATACTTCAAGTTTCTTTCCACTGTCTTTCTGGAAAAAGGTAAAATTGGGGTCCTCTTGAGATTTTTTAGCAATACCTTATTATTATGCAATAAACATGCACAAGAAGGTCTTGCTCAGCTCAAACAGAATGAATCTTTTAGTGAAGGAGAAAGCTGTGGTGAAGGACAGGCAGCTCTTCCTTGTCAGAGGTGAGAAATTAGTTTAATATACTGCGCAAAAGAAAGACAGAAGGGAAGGAGAGATCCCCTCATTAAATGCTCACCATTTGAGCCCTGCTTAATATGTTGACTGATAACTAGTGTACGCAGTTGCAACAAGCAGAGGCCATTCCAAACAATGATGCCCATCTGTTATGGTACCACTTCAGTCTTAGAACTTCCAGCTGCCACTTCTGGTTAGATGTGCCACATTATGCACAGCCTCGCGTACCAAATGAGTGCAGCCTGCACAGCCCGGTCCTGACTTCTGCAACTTAAGTATCACCCTGTGTGTGCAGTGACAGGCTCAAGTCTCAGTGACAATGACTGAGCGAGCCTGTGTGTGCATGCAGACAAAAAAAAAAAAAGGAGAGGAATTAACCAATAAACCTGTTCCAGAACACAGGCTACTCTCTTTTATTTAGAGTGGGCATCTCAGTGTACATGCTCTCAATACCACACACCAACATGGCATGCAGTAGAGATACCAAAAGCATCTCTGTTTTGAAGAACACAGAGAGCACACAAAGGGAACTAGAGGACACCCCTAAAGGTAGTTTTCGCTTTTTAACTCATATCATTTCAAATGTCTTACTGAGAAAACTGGCAGTGGTCATGATCAACCTCCATTGCAGGATTGATTTTCATCAGTGACTTTAAAGAAATTATCCCTTCATTCTACAGAGAAATGAAGCTTATTTTACCACACCATTAGTACCTAGAATACACTTCAAAGTTCTAATCAGGAACTTTGTCAGTATAATGACCCTTTTGTAATGGGATTCTTCCCTCTTCCAGGTAACAAAGTAGAGACATGACTGCAAGGAGAACCACCTCAAGAGATGATTCTGTTTACATGCTGAAATGTCTGCTGTTTGGCCAGCAAGCTACATGAGCACATGACTGTACTTTAGCAACTCTCTAGAGAAGTCGATGCAGAGTAGGCCTAAATGCATATTAAGACTTCTCTCAGGTGCACCCTTGCAATCCCTGGACAGTTAAACATACTGAAGTATTAGCATGTTTCAGACCAACACACCAGGCCTTGTCTCTTGCAAAGACTCCAAAGCAACGTGTATGAATCGAAGTGTTTTACAGGCTCCATCACCAGGGCCTGCAGTCTCCCTTGCCCACTGCTGTGCACCATGTGGCAGCTGCATACGTGTTTCACCACGTCTGCAATAATAACGAGGCACTGCAAAACAATAACAGGGCTACATAAGATTACCAGAAGCCAAATCAATTACCTGGTTTGCACACTGCTTTTTTCTAGTCAGCTCCATTTTGGCAATTTCTTCATCGGGATCCTGTAAGAACTACAAAAAGCAGTATATAATTTCCGGAGCACAAACCGCGGGGCCAGCAGCTGTCGGTCCCCGAGGGGCACATCCCAGCGCAGCGCATGGCCCCGCACCCCAACAAAAGGCGGCGAGGGCCCGGGCGCAGCCACGGCCCGCACTCACCGTGGCCACATCAGCTTTCCTCTTGCGGGCTCGCATGGCCCCGTCCGCACCGCCGTCCGCCCTGGCGGGGCCCTTCTCCTCCGCGCGGTCACTGCCGAGAGAGGGGGAGCTGAGCGGCCGCGGGATCCTCCCGGGGGTGCCCGCGGGGCCCGGCCTGGCGCACTCACCTCTGCCGGCGCATGGTGCCCGCCGGGCCCAGCCGGGACGGGACGCGGCCGAGCGGGCCCGGGACGCGGCGCCCACAAAGGGCGGCGGAGGCGCGGAACGGGCCGGCCCCGCCGGCTCCCCCCGCCCGCCCGCGCTGCGCTCACTCACCGCCGCGCCGGCCCCTTTCCCGGGCGGGGGAAGCGGGTGCGCCGGCGGGTGGTCGGCGGGTGCGCGGGGGGCAGCCGGCGGGGCCGGCCGAGGCGGGAGCGCGGGGCGGGCTCGGCCGGGCGCCTCCTGCCCCTCACGGCGCGGCCGCTCCGCTCCGTGCGCGCGCCGCGCCCGGCGGGACATTTAACCGCGCGCCGGAGCGCGGGCCGCCCCCCCCGCGCACGTGGGCCCGCGCGCGGGGACGGGCGGGGCGGGGCGGGGCCGCCCGCGCGCGGGAGCGGCGCGGGGCCCGCGCGCGGGGCCTGAGGGGCGGGGCCGGGGCCGAACGGGGCGGGGCCAAGGACGAGAGGGGCGAGGCCGGGGAGAAATGGGCGGGACTAAGGGAGACGGGGCGGGGCCCTGTGTCGGAAAGGGGCGGGACTAAGGGCTGTCAGGGCAGGGCCTGTGTGGGGAAAGGGGCGGGGCCAAGGGCGGGTCCCTGACGCGAACCCGGAAGCTGAGAGCGCGGCACGTGGGACATGTCCGGGGTGAGCGGAGCGGGAACGAGACCGGGATCCCCATCCCAATCCCGATCCAGATTCCCGGCCCGGCCCCGCTCCGCTCACGCCCTCCTTCCTTCCCCTCCCCGCAGGTCGTGCGGCGGCCCGCGCTGTTCGGGCGGCTGAAGGCGGCGGTCATTGGGATGGTGCACGTGGGAGCGCTGCCAGGTAAGCGCTGGGCGGGCGGCACGGCCGGCAGGATCCTCACCCAGACCCGACCCGGGACCAGGATGGGTCCCCACTCGTCGGTGTCGCCCCTCGGCCCGACTGCGGCCCCCCGAGTAAAGCCCGCGCCGCTGGAAGCCTCTTCAGCCCCTTCAGCCGCCGCCACGGGCCTCTTGTGAAGTGCCCTAAGTTTGGGCATCTCCCCGTTTCTGAGGTAAAAAAGGCAGGAGACGGATCCCCGTAAGGAGCGACACTGAGAAAACAAAGGTTTGGTATTGGTGAGCTCAGTGTTTTAAGAAGCAGTGGTTAGGGAGCTGCACCAATGGGCATTAGGACAGAGTACAGATTGGATTGAGCTCTCACAGTGGGAAGCTCAGACAGCAGGCGGGTCTGTGCTAGCCTGGCCTTCTCGTCCCCCTTTCCAAGGGCTCAGGGGGAGCGGAGCTGATCACAGCAACCTTGACGGGCTGGGGCCCAGAGCTCACCCTGCTCCACGTTTTCCCAGAAGCAGCCCCCAGGCACTGTCCAGCCTTCCCCACGCTGTGAAATCTAACAAAGCTGTCAGAGAGCTCAGCACAGCCCCCATTCCAGACTGTCACACTGCCTGATTTAGGAGCCTAAATATCAGAAACTACTTTGGAGTTGATCTCAGTGGAAACTCATGGAACTCCAACAAAATCCATGTGTGTTCATTTCTGCCATGGAACATGTGCTGAAGATCAGATAAAATCAGCTTTGCAGATTCAAGATAGCTTTAACTGATTTTAAACTCACTGGTGTTTAGCACTGGTATTCTGCAGACCTAGAGGCTGGTCTTGCCCATAGGTTGTATTGTCCAGAGCATCACTAACGCAGGATAAACTCTAGCAAGTGCAGGAATAGCAAGCTAAGAGCAGACCTGGTGCAATAAGGTATTGTAGCAGACATTCCTCAGGTGTATGAATTAGATTTAGGAGCTGAATGGTTACAGCAGATGTGCCAAGTTCAGCTAAGGAAAGAGATGTCACTAAGGTGTGTCACCACGAGACAGAGCAGCCCTTTAGCAAGTTTACCCTATGTCTCCCTATTTCAGCATGCCAATCCCTGTAGCTGTCCTACCCAAGAGCTATCACTGCCCCTGTGTTTGGTTTGTGCCCTGGAGTATGCAGCATTATTCTTGCAGGGACCCCAAGAAGTTCTCTGCCATTGGCCCAGATCGTTGATCAAGCTTGTCAAGAGGCAGAAGCTTACAGGGATGCTGGAATTGTAAGTTTTGGTTTCCTTCTTCCTATGGCAGCCATTAAACAAAACCACTTCTGCATAGCCAATATTTTTAATTGGTCCTGTACTTCACCAAAAGCATTAGGGAGATGTTTAAATACACGTCTTTTATTTCAACACAGTAAGTACACCTTCTAGATTACAAAAAAAAAAAAAAAATCCCATAAAATAATTATCATTTGCAGCCAAAATAGTTAAAAAAGTTTAGATTCAAGTTGTACAATTCAAGTTAAGTTGGATGACCATCAATCTCTAAGAGTCAAGTCAATTGAAGGGGTAAGAGGAAAAAAAAGTAAAGTGGACTGCAGCATGGATTATTGGTGGCATTCTAGGTCTCTGGCTGTAAAATGCTTCATCCATCCAGTCTGACAAGCAAGTGTATTTTTAGCTCTGTACAGCACTCTGGTTTCATGGAGTCCTGGAGGATTGCCATGGGCACAGCTGATATGCTGCATCCATACCTCAGGCACCTGTAGGGTGCAGGATCACTCCACCTTTGTGTCTGTATCAAAATAACACAGATAATCCAGGGACTGCAAAAATAAAGCTTAGGCCCTTCTCTGCCCTCTTTAACTCTTCAGGCCCCCAGCAGCACATATGCCTCTGTTTTGCACATCCAGAAGAGGAGGCTCATAATGCCAATCTCAGCTAGAGGCAAGAAGAGGCAGAATTGCTGTTGAACCTTAAGTGCTGTAGTAATCTTCATAGGTCAGTAGATTTTAACAAGGTGTGTGTCCTTTTGAAAGGTCAGGTATGTTTTAAACATTTCATTACACCATGTCTAGGGGTGTTGATGTGCTTTTTCTCTGACCTGTTCACAGCATTGTGAACATTTTATGGTGGTGTATGAGTTTTGAAAATGTCTTCGGTGAACAAGCAGTCACTGGTGTTTTCAGCAAAACTTCAATAACAAGCAGGGTGAAAGATTTTAATGTATAAACTAGAGTGATACTTTACAGAGGGAACAAAATTGAATGCAGGAGCTTAGTCTAAATTATAAAGACCCAGGTCAAAATGCAAGACAAGTCACACAAAGTAGGTTATGGGCAGAGCACTAATTAGGCAAGAATGCTGAGAATAGAATTGTTTTGAAAGGATAAGCACCACTGTGGTAGAATGATGTTTACATAGGTGGGCTTCAGTGCCTGTGAACCAGATGAGCACGTGCAAGATGTCCACCCAGTTAGAAGAGTCTCTTAACTGCAAGTTGAACAGAATGAGTAAGTTTTCTTCCTTTTCATGCCAGCTGAAGGAACAGGTGTGAAATAGCTCTGTTTGCTGTACTGTCACTTTATATTTTGTTGCTACAATATCACCATGAGGTGATTTGACCTACATCAGAAGAGTGGCAAATACTAGTCTCTGTCTTCCTGTGTCAGAGGAAGTGGTTGCACAAGTAATCTATAACTCATAAAGCCATTGCCCCACATTCTACTGCCTGTTTACCCATTTCCCTTACATAATAACTACACAATGAATCCTGTAGCAGCAGGAGGAAGACACCAAGTACACCTGAAGGTGAGGGAGGGTACAGAAGCAGTTACTTCCACTGTTGGCCTTCACAAAGCTGGAACAGCTTTAAGACAAGCTTTAAAACAAGCTTTAAAACAGTACTAACATAAAACTTTATTTTGGCTTTTAATCTTCATCTTTTTGGCAGTTGTAATACATTCTGCAATTATTTGAACTTAAATATATTTTTAAACCTACCTGTCGGGTAGACAGATGAGGTAAATGCAGTCATTTCTCTAAACATTTGGACAAACTCAGGGCTTAAAGTTATGCTTAGTTTATTTCCTGTAAAAGCCACTGTGCATTCCACAGCAGTCTTTATTCTAAAGGTCTGTACAAAATAGTGTTGCAGCAATATAACAAACAAATCCTTTATTAATGCTATAAATGTCAGGAGAGCCTCTATAAGTTCACTGTGGTTGCCTAATCCTTTCTGCAATTCACTTCTTTAGTTTTTCCTGGTACTTTGAGAGAAATGCAGATTTTCATGATAAATATTTCAGGATCTTCCCAGCTTTTGCACAGAGATCACCCCTCTTCCAAACTGTCCTGCTTTTGTAGTGGGAATATATTTGTGTTTCTTGCTCAGTATTCCAAATGAACTGTTAAGCTGTCTGTTTTTCTTGTGGAAGAAGAGCTAGAAAAACTTAAAAAAGGGTTTTTTTCCCATGGATGTTTTTACTGACAGTGTTTCCAAATGCTGCCTACAATAGCCTTTAAGAGGATACATAACCATTTGCTGCTATTAGATGTTTACCTATTGTCTTAAGTTGCTTGAATTGCTGTTAACCTGGAAAAATGAAGTATATGGTCTTGTTCGTTCCATATGCATTGCGCTTGGAAGTAAATCCTGGTATATTCAGAGGAAGGTGAGTTGTCTGACACATTAGCAGCTTAACATAATAAATATGAAAAATTTGTGATATTAGAGCACAGTAATGAAAACAAGTGAGTGCTCAGTTAGGAAGCCATCTGTGCTCAAAATGTATGCGCTTTGTACTTGTGTGTTGCTAAACAATGAAATTCCCTAGACAAGATTTTGTAAGCAGCAGAGTATGGGGCATTACAATCCCTCCAGTTTGTACCTGCTTTTGTTTAAGAAAGATGCAAAATATATGTTCAAGTTAACTTTTATTAATTCCATTCAGCCTGGCTGGCACTTGCTTTCTAGCCAGAAAATAGAGCATAAGTTGCCTCTGATTGCATTCATAAAGATTATTTGACTACAGGTTGCTGTTTCCTAACTGTAGCTATTTCGGTAGCTGATATTAAAACAGTTGCTACTATGTTTTACTTTTTTTTTTTTTTAATAAAGAATTTTAAGCCTGTTACTCTTATAACTACAGTGATAATTTGAATTCAAAATGCTAATAATTTAACAGTAGCCAAGACAGAATAAACTAGTATTCCTGTATGGAACAATATAGGTAGTTATCACTTGGATGACAGAGGAGAACATTTTGAATTACAGCGAAATAAACCAGCAGACAAACCTTCCCACAGCTGCCTCCTATAGTATGTGTAGGAGAACATAAGATAATTACCTCTCTTAAGGCAGTGATCTGCTCTGGAGGTGAGGTTTTAAAGGCATTGTTGGGAAGCTGTGCTTAGAGACAGCAAGTAAATGCTCTGCAAAGGCACCTGATTTCCTTTATAAGGGGCACGTGTCTGTGATGAGGCAAAAGCTGTAACAGTCTCATTACACACCTGAGCCTGTAGAATAAAGGGTGTGGTGCAAACTCCTCCCCCTTTTCTTGCTGCAGGAACTGAGTAGGGCTGTTGAGCTTGCAGAGGTGTGTGTTGGTGTGTACAGGTTTGCAGGTAAAACCTTTCTGTTGGAGGAAGCACTGGGGTTAAAGTTGCCCTGGGGAAAAGTTACATCAGGTCTATGCTGAGTTAAAACTTGTACAACTATTACACCTGTTGTAGTTTATAGTGTTGTGGCTATTTTTGAGGCTTTTCTTCTCTGGTACCTGGGGGGCTGAAGTGTGTTAAGAGATTGTTTCTGTAAGTGGAATAAAGCTAAGGAAATTTTTTCTCTATATAATCAGAGAGCTATTTAAATGACTTATTTTTTTCAATAGCTAACTGTGATACAAAGGGCACTTTGCACATATGTAGCACTTCAGAAGTAATTCAAGCTAAAAAGGAAATACATTGTTTGAGAGTTACTAATAATAAGGCTATTACATATAAGCAACACTTAAGTTATCTTAATATTGAGTGGAAAAGGAACACAAAAGGTATTTGCTAGAGTTTTGTCTCATACTATCTAAATAAATTCTGCTTTGGAGGATATAATGCAGTAGCTGTTTCCACAGACTTCTAAACTGTAAGCTTAAGTTCCAAGAACTTTAATTTAGCATAACTGTTTTTTTCCCTATTTTAATTAGCTGTCTGATAGTACAGAAGTCTGTCTTATATACATATCAATTCAGTAAACACAGAAATCTGTGGTGTTATATTTTTATATAAAATGTAAAAGAAAGCTTTGACTTAATGCCTCTGTAATTCTGCTTTCTGTATTGCAGAACATATGTTGTTCTTTTTTTAATTAAACAAAACAGACTATGCAAAAGAACGTAGTCTATCGGATGGTACCAAAAGAATAACACATTATTAAAGTACTACCAAAAATGTTCAGTGTAATTGTGGACCTTCAGGCCATAGGAAGAGACAGTTGCTGAAAAGTGAAGATAGTAAGTTTGAGGCAGAAGAGAGAAATTTTGGAATCCTCCCATATACCTGCATTATGAGCTGAAACTCAATCAGATACTTGTTATGCACAATACTATGGTTTGGGTTTTTTATAATTTATTAAATTAATTAATTCATTAATGTATCTAATGGAATAATCGGCTTTATGCAAATCCTGAACTATGAAAGCAGTAGCAACTCACAGAAAGCTCAGTTTCACTGTGGAATTTCTGTGGAATTCTGCCAGCCCATCCTCTTGCTTTTTTGGCTGCTGTGTGGCTCTTTGGGAGCTGAATGCTGGAAGTCCCATTCCCAGTCACCTTTCTTCACATCTGTCCTGTTTAGGTTGATTCTTGTCTGTTTTGCAGATCCTAGCTCCCCTAAATGTTTTTTTTCTCTTCTGGTTCAGTTACAATATCTTTGAAACATAAAGCTCTCATTTTAAAGGATTAAGATGTGTAATAAGATTCTAAAGAGCAGAATTTATTTTCTATGTGTGCAGTTAGTTTGTCTATTAAACTTTTTGAATTTTTGGAATTAATCTCATGAGAAGTGTCTAGTTTCTTGTAATATTCTCCCTGTGAATGCAAAATATCAGGCCTGGAACATGTTTCAAGGCTATACTTTTACTTTTGTTATTAGTCCTGGACAAAATTATGTATGATTTGTCGTTGAAAACTTTCCGGTACACAATGATTAGAGAATGCATGGTACCAGGTAATGTACAAAGATTTTCAATAAATTGCATAAATTGTATTAGCAGAGTATTTTATCATCACTCCACTGTTTGCTAAGAGTATGTCTATCTGGAAGGAGAGGTCTAATAGATAATAAATAGCATTATCTTCCTTCCAGTAATTCTGAATATGGAATGGGAGAAATATCAATAGTTAGTACTGTGGTATTAGGCACACTACAAATATGAACAACAAACAAAAAATTCCTTTATTTATCCAAAATAACACTTATTTTCTGACATTAATTGAATTGAAAATTGCCCTGATTATCTCCAAATCCTCTGTTATCCAAATATACTCAATATCCTGTATTCCCCTTGGATAACTGAAATTTGACTTTACACTATTTTTAATGAAGTATAAGATTTAACTCATTTGCCCGTAGTTCACATTTTAGGATGGATCAAAGGAAACCAAATTGATGAACGCATAATTAAACCTACATTTGTTTCTCCTCATGATTTCCCTGCGAACACCATGCTGTTGATGAAAGCACTTTTATAAGTGGTTGTGGGCATCAAATGCATCAACACAATTTACTGCAGATAATCCTGCCTTTGAAGGAAAACCTTTAAACCTGTGTGCCTCATCATACAAAACAGGGTTAGGGTAAACTAGCCATGTGTTTTAAGTTCCTTTTTGTTTTTTTGCACGGTGTAATCATATTTTTGTATAACAATCTCCACAGGATGGCTTGATTGTAGAAAACATGCATGACCTCCCGTACATGGTGTGTCCTGGGCCAGAAGTCACTGCAGCAATGACAGTGGTTGGTGCTGCAGTGAGGCAGAGCTGTCCCCATCTCCCAGTGGGTGTCCAGGTCCTGAGCGCTGCAAACCACCAGGCAATAGCAGTGGCTCTGGCTGCAGGTAAATAGAAATGACTCATCAGTTATTACTGTTGTTTGCCATGGCATTTACTCTCCGCAAATTGAGCATTGTGCTAACATAGATACCATGAAAAATGAGACATGAAGAGCTCACTGTACCCTGAAAAAACAGAAATTAGACTTTTGAGAAAGATGCCTGCTTGATTGTAATAGATGATACTTGTGTGTTGCTTCAGTTGGAGGCAGCTGAAAATCCCAAGGCCGCTGCAGCAGCTTTCTAGGTGAAACTTGCCTAAATGTAATGATTAGTTTAAACCTACTGATGTCTAAAAGCCACCTTTGGTGCAACTCTATTTACTTCAGTTAAATTGTATTTGAGGATCAAGTTAACCCGCTGTGGTTAAGCATCCTGTTTCAGCATCTAATTATGTGTTGTTGCTACTACTGTTATCCATTAAAACTGAGTTTTCGTTGTCTCTTTTTAATGAATGGATGGAATGAAGCTTTTTATATAATAACAAAAAATGAGCGTTCAGATAGCCAAACTACTTAAATTGCATTTGGGGGAATTAAATATACATTAATCTATCTTTATTGCATGAATCCTAGACTTGCTAACCTTTCTGCTCCTACTGCTTACCGAAGTAATTTTACATCACGGAATGTTACATATGAAAAACTAAACATGGTGATTGGCTTAATGTGGAAAGCTTGTACTTCCTAAATTCATAGATTGAGGGTTAATGCACAGCTTTTGCCCAAATTGCATATGTAATTGCAGTAAGGTTGCACATTTTTGAGTGTAAAAATTTTATACAGCCAGGCAGAAGATGCTGGTGTTAACTGAAAACCACACTTCAGGTAAAATAATGTTGGGTAACCTCTCTGCAGTGACAGTAATAATTATGCCAGATATATTCTGAAAGGTTTACATTCTTGTTAGCAGAAGTATTTTGGTCTCAGATTTGTTTTGTGTGCTTTAAAATTGGAAGTTGCCACTTTCAAAGCTACTTGACAAACTGACAAAACCTGTTTTTTATTGCTGCAGCAGAACCTATATGAAAATTTAAAATAAAAATGCTAACAGAATCCAGTTTGTTTTTAGAGATTGCATTCATGTGGGATACTTGAGGGACAAAGGTGTTTGCAAAAATATTACACACCTTATTTTTAAAAGCAATGGTCAGATTGTTAATGAGTTGTGCGTCCTTTGAGGAGCAAAAATCATCACTAGGTAAGGGATATAGTGTGGGAACAATATATTTCTCTTCTCAGCAATTATTAATGAGGGAGAGGATTCCTGGAGGGCTTGGGTTTTGCTCAGCTCTACTACTGTTCTGCACTATTTGCTCTGTAACTGGAGAACACCAGCCAGGAAGGGCCTGTGTTTAATGCATTTCATTGCACTTCTCTAAAAATGATTGTCTCAAGTTCACTGAACAGGAAAGCAAAAAAAAAAAAAAAATCACTTTAAGCAAAATCATTGCAAAGTGAGTGCTACTTTGTAGGTAGAAAATCTCTGAGTAGTTTTACTGTAGCAACTTAGTAGTGACTTAATTGTCAATACAATTTTAATAGGTAGATATTAATAAAGGAAGTCCTGCGTGCTTTCACTACAGAAATAACTTGCTAAAGGTGTTTTAGCTAAAAAGCATATGTAGCATCTTCTACTATGACTCCTATCCACTCACTTCATTTTCCCTGTGGAAATTCCTATATTTGGTAGAAATAACCGCCCTGAAGAGAATCACACAGGGAATTTATAAATGGTCTTTAGGAGAAGGTAATGATTTATTTTGTAAAGGGCAGGGGAAAATCAGCAGGTTTACAGTGTGACTAGGAGCTCAACTTCAGCAACATGTGGTTATGCTAATAAATGTGTTGTGGGTAGCCAAATAGTAACAGATGAAATTACTGAATTTTCCCAGCAGCTTGGCAAGGTATTGGATAGATCTGAAAATAACAGTAATAAATCGGGGGATGAGGCATCTGAGGAGGTCGAGATTTTCTTTTTTTCATTTAATTTGGTTGTTTAGGGAACATTTATTTATTCAATTAGGCATTCAAGGGTGGAATGCCAGCAAAATTGTTTTTGTTCAGGGTGCTTCAGCAAAGGTGTGGGGCAATGGTAGGAAAAGAGTGGGGGACTCACTTTTGAGAAAGAGAAAAGTTCGAGTTTCTTGAGCAGGCCCTGCTGTGGCTGGTTACTTGATTCCATGTTCTTAATATAATGTTAAAGTTCTACTTATTAGGTTTCATTGGAGACTTCTTGTTCTTCTTATCCAGTGAGACTACAAATTCTTTTGTTCCCATATAAGTCAGAAACGGGACTGCCTGGTAACTATTCAGCAGCTATTACTTTTCAACTTGCCAAATGTGAAAGTAAGCAGTAGTATCATTCTCACAAGTTTATGAGCGTAAAAATGAATTCATTAGCGGAATCTGATTATGGCTTCATAAAACAGAAGGATAATGATACAGTGCCTGCACCTATTACACTTGGTTAAAATTTGTATTTTCATGGCCTCCAAAAACCCAGATCAGGAGTGCAGCCTTGTTAAACTGAGTGCTATACTAATGTTCAGCAAAAAGTCTTAAATTACTACATTAAGGAAACACAAACCAAGTGTCAACAAACCTTAATTAATGAAATTACTCAATGAATAGCTCCTGTCCTGAGTTAAGCACTTATTGCTGTGAAAGTGTAACATGTCTCTGGACCCATCAGTAGTCTTATGGTTAGAGAAATAATTTTTCTTATTTAACTCTGAATTGTTCTGTAAGCTTGGGTGTTGTAATAGAACCTCGAGGTTTTGTTCCCAGGTGCAGAAGTCTCAATCAGGATGTTTGCAGTGTGTTTATTTACCTGATGTCAACAAACACCTGTAGCTGTACTTGTGGCACACTCCTGTCTTTGGTTCCTGAGAATATTCCATGCTTCTCAGCCGCTTATCTCAAGGCACAGGGCAGCTTGCATTTCATTTGGCATCCATCTGTGATGTTTCTTGTTAGCTGGAGTCTGTGTTGCTAAGCAATACAGGCTCTTCTCCATCAGGCATAAGCTTCTGTTTCTGCAACTTCAGGTCTTTGGGAATGAAACTGAAATTTTAAAATAAACAGGCACCTTGTCATTTGGTAAATAAATTTTCGAGATCATTTCTCTTTGTATCTGAAATGTGCTAAGGTGATGCCTCTGTTGCCTAAGCAGTTCTCTGGTGGATGGGACTGCATTCCTGATGGCTGCTTCCACATGCATTGCTTTCCTTGGTATGATGTCAGCTCTAATTAAATGTGCAGCTGATTCCAAAGCTGGAGCAGCAGCAGAGCTTCAGTAGGGCTCAGAAGAGCCCTCTAAAGCAATGGAATAACAGCAAAACTGCACAAGATGAGTGCAGAACTTCTATGCAGATGTTAAGTGATGGGTGAAATAAACTTCAGGGCTCTGAAAGACTTGGGAGAAGAGGGGAGTACAATGAGGGAGTCAGGATTCAGTCTTGTGCCTCACAACTTTGGCTTATTACATTATGGTCCAAGGCTCCAGTATTACAACAGATATTTCAAGGCTGTGTAGGGGTCCCTGATAATCAGTGAATGGCCTGTGTGAAGTAATTCCTATTCATAGTCTTCCTCTTAAATACGTATCTCACAAAACCTTCCTAGTGTAAAACATTAATGAATATGGTGGAACCTGTGTTGCAGAGATGGTAGAATTGATGGTCAGATTAAGTTTGGAGTACAGTGTAAAATGTTTCACTCTTCCCAAACCTTTTTGTACCTTTGGCACAGCTCTGGAAGTAATTTATTGATGGGGTGCTCTTTAGAAAACATGCTACATTCAGATGGAGTCAGCTGGGTTGCGTTTCAGATTGTGTTTTCATGCCTAATTTCGTAAAGAAAGATAACAATGCTATTCCTCTGTGTCTGTGTCCTTGATGGTTTTTGACCTGATGGCCAACTTGAGGCACATTTAACAGGGGAATAGATGTTGGGAAAGAATTTCTGGAAAAAGGGAAGAAATGCAAGCTAATGGCCCTTTTTGGAGAGAGAAAACAGGTTATTAGGACAAAGGAGCTGTGTTTTGACCTACCTGCTCCTCTGTCAGTGTATGCCCACTGGCAAGAGGAAGGGCAGGGTGTGCAGCTGCTTTTTCTGAGCCACACAAGAACAAACTGAGGGATGAAAAAGAAGGGAACCACAGGGATAGGGAGAAAATTGGTGGGAGAGATCAGACCTGTTAGATGCAAAAGAGGTCAGAATATGGGTGAAAAGAAAGCGTGTAAAACTTAAATTTGTGGAAAAACAATGTTTGTTAGTCTTAGAACATGTGAAAGAACTTGTGTTGGGATCAAATTAAGAGGGCAGTAAGGTAGATTCTGTTTGGGTTTAGTATTTCTGTTTCCTAGGCTTTAAAATACTGCTTTTTATTGTTTTCAGGTCTTGATTTTATCCGGGCTGAAGGGTTTGTGTTTTCTCATGTGGCTGATGAAGGGATTATAAATGCCTGTGCAGGTGACCTGCTACGATACAGAAAACAAGTTGGAGCAGAGAACATTCAGATTTTTGCCGATATTAAAAAGAAACATAGGTAAATATAAGCAATATTTTTTTGTAAATATGAATATAACCATGGTTTTATATTTTTCCCCAATTTCTGATTAGTGCAGATTTAGTGTCAGGACCATTAATGATATAGGGAGTTTATTATTTAAGCAAGGTCTTGCAGTGCTGTTAAGGAATAGATTTAGAGATAAATTTGCACCTCTAAGTTGCTGGTTGCTCTATCTGTGAAGTTTGTAATTTTTTAACATTTAGGATTTAAAAATGCAGATTGTAAAAGTCTTGCATCTGGTATTAAGTGAGATTTGTGTATATGCCTATTATGTGTAAAGAAATTTTTTTTCTGAAAGTTATGTATCTAAGGTTATTTTTTAGTCATGTAAGCAGTTGCTATATAAAAGCATCCAAATCATAATATTTTGGCATTTTAAAAATCTTTCTCCTCTTTCCTGCCAATAATACTGATTTCTTCTACTTAAATCAGTGCAGTCTACATACAGGTTATGTTCTATGATTATCAAACAGAAGAAACTTATGACAAACAAATCCAGTTTCTTTTCTGCTGCTACTTTATCTTACCTGTCACATGGCACGTTCAGCAATTTAGATGTCAGTCTTTTGTTTTTTTTTTCCCCAGAAGAACTGCTCAAGTGCTATGTATTATACATGCTAAATAACCTAATTAAAATGTTTGTGTGTAGTATGTGAGTAATCATGAGAATAGCCAAGTCTGAAAGATCTTAAATATATAATAAAAAAGTAATAAATTTCAAAATAGAAACTAAACAATGCAGTGTGGTCAAATTAAGCTTTTCAGGTACTTTCAGAGTGTTTTCTTTCTAATGATTTTTGATATATATAAATAAAATACATTTCATTAGTCTTTTCTGTAAAATAAATTGATTGCATCATATCACTTTTTAACCCTCTAATAACCCTTTCCCAAGTGTTGTCCGTGCAGACTGATTCATGAGGGGGTTGGTGCCTTCACCACTCAGCAGTGCAACGTGTTGGCCATAGCTTTTGTTTTCTATTTAGATGGAAATACAGAAACAACAGTCAGATGTTGAACCAGCAATGGCTGGAATTCCTTCCAAGTTTAGGACTGCTGAAGTTAATAGCTGCTATTTCTATAGGTTTCAAAGCGTGTCACCCATACATCAAAGCCTGCTGTTGAACAGCTGGGTTGCAGGTAATTGATGCTTGTAATTGCTGTGTAAGATGATTCCTGTGATTATATCATAGGTAATAACTATACTTTCAGTTAGTTGGACTTGTGCAATGACGTGGAGGCTGTTGATTCTGTTCTAGGCAGCAGGATCTGATTTATGAATGAACATCCACAGCTCCCACTTGAAGTCAGAGAGCTCTGTGTGCTCAACATTTCTGAAACACAGGTGCTCGACATGTAAGCAGCCGTCTCAATTGACACTTGGTGGCTCACACTCAGCAATCACTCTTTAGAGACAGGAGACCTGGAGCAACAGGTCCATCAGTTCTGATGGAAGTGGTTGTTGAGATTGATCTTTAACTCCTGCTTGGATTGTGATGTTACTTCCCAATTTAAACCAGGACACTCACCCTCCCTCGCAAAGCCTGCCTTGGATTGTGCTGGCAGAAGAAACACAGTCTAGATTGCAGGATGTGGGTATCAAATGTGTGCTGACAGTAACCAGGGTCCTGCTGTTGCAGTGCCCACGCTCTGACGGCCGATGTCAGCGTGGCCCAGACAGCACAGGCTGCCCAGCTCTTCCTGGCCGATGGGGTGGTGCTGACCGGCACAGCCACGGCACTGCCTGCGGATCCCTGCGAGCTGCAAGGTGAGGGATGTCACACAAGGCTTGCTCAGCAGGCACTGAACTCTGCATTCATGTAGAAATCCATATATTCACTTAAGGGGAAATCTGTACCTTCCTTAAGGTGGGGCGGGGGGTGGGAAGAGAAGAAACTTTTCACCGTGGGGTTTGGTTTTATACAGTTTGAGGTGCTGTTCAGTTCAGATTGGCTGTGGTATGTTTCTAAACAGTGGTTTGGCAGGACAAAAACGACAGTTATTTCAAGCTTTTGTATGATGCTGAAGCTTAAATGACCAAAAAAAAAAATTCTCTGTTTAATTCCTAAAAAGTCCTAATATAAGAAAAAGCTACTTTATTGCTTTATTAGGAATCTAACTAACTATGAATCTTTCCATTGAAGAGTTCAGCATTCTTACCTTTCACAGTGAAAATGAAAGTCCTGCAAGGAGAGGGGCATTTTGATGAGGCAGCATTTCAAACAGTAATACCAGGGAAAGTATGGCTTGGAAGATGTTCAGAAAGAACACAAGTTCATGGGTAGATAGGAGGATATTAACATCAAAATAATTTTTAAGTGGTGTGGACTTCTTATCAGGGGAGGCTCATTTGACCTCTGAGTTCTGACCTTTGCAGGAGTGCTATGATTCTTCATATTTTTATATTGGCATAAGTTTGGGCTGTCTTCATGAAACTGTATTGCTCCCATGCTAGAATTAAAGTTCCATCATGGGGACATTTAATTTTCATCACTAATTTTAATTTAGATTAATGGCTTGAATTTGAATGTCTCACTACATTAAGTAGAATGTGTATTTTTAAGGTTTTACTCTTTCTGACATGCTTTAACATAGTTCCCGTGCAGTGTATTGTATTCAACTTTTGCTAACAGATCAGCATGAAAAATGTACTTTACTTGCCGCAGATTACCTGGACCTCAAGCATCTTCTTAAATAACGTGAAATCATTCAGTGTTTTCAGGGTTTAATATCTATCATACATGCTTAAAAGCATTTAAAATGAATGTTGATACATTGAACAGGTGATGATGAAAGCTAAGCATCCTTTAGAGACTGCAAAATTTCCTTAATCTAGAGCTCCAGACCTGTCTGCAGTTAATGTATTAATACAGATTAAATCATTAAAAAAAAATTTGATAAGTCTTTGGGCAAAATCCTAGGTTAAATTCTGCTCTCACATATGCATGTGCAACCTCCACTGATTTCCTGCATCAGAGAGCAAAACCTGATCTGTAGGCCCAGAGTTTTTTTTGTCACAGGACTTTCAACCAGACAGTACCATGGCTTCTGCTTTTCTTTCATGTGAACAAACATGTCAGTCTCTGTCTTGTTCTCCTTCTGGGTCCAAAGAACAAAATGAATCAGAGTTGGCAGCTGTAATGAAGTACACATTAATTTTGTGTTTGGATTTGTGTTATGAAAGCAAGAGTCTGCAGATCATGGGTTTATTTTACTTAGATCACAGCATTCTGGATGTTAGCAGGCCCTCTCATGAGAAGGATGTTGTCTTAAAACTGTTAAGAGAATAACTTAAAAATCAATATTCCACAGTATAAGGAAATGACAAATTAGGCATATCTATGTCAGGAGATTCTTAAAAGGGATCAGATCTACATGCTACAAAGTTGGTGTTGATGTGAGTGAAATTTTGCATTTCACGAATTTATGCAGCCCTGGAAGTGCTGTATTACAGTGATACACACAATTGGGCACCTTTCATCACACTGCAAAGCATCTCTTGAAAGCAGAACCGAGAGACAGATGAGATTTTCGTCATGTCTTTTTTCCAGCTTTGTTGTGCAGTAACACAGAAGTGGTTTTGCCTTTGTGTCTTTGTGTGGAATTGACTGATTTGTGATGGGCTGTGGGAAGTGAGTGCTTCCCTGTCAAGACAGAGAACTGTGCTTGTACTTTGTGTCGCTCCCTTCTATAGGCAGCTTCCAGCACCTCTCCTTGCACAGGCTGGCAGGCTTTGCTTCAGGGCTGCCTGGGCACACCAGGGCACCAGTGGTCGATGGAGTATGAGGTCTGAAAACCAGACTTCAGGTTGTTAAGGAGCAAGAATTATAGCTGAGCGCTTTAAATTGCAATTCATTAACAAACCATCTTTTCATTTAAGAGCTTGTAGAAGTTTGTTCCAGTTTTCTGCTTTGTGGAATGTTCTTTGGTTGGAGTGTGTGAATCTACCAGATTTTTTCCTTTGGATATAACTGCTGCAATACCTGCTTTGCATTCAGTCTGTATTTTAAGTGACCAAAGCTTTGTGTAATGACTGCTCAGTTAATCTCTTTGCACAAAGCAAAGTGCCTCAGCTGAGTAACCAGTGGAAAACAGGTACATAATGAAATCCAACAGCTGGCTGTGACTGTCACCTCCTTAATTATTGTTCATAAAAGGGGCATCAAGACTGATTCACCCTCTCATCTTTTGATGGTCAAAATAGAGGCTGCTGCCTTTGTGGTACCCTCAGAGATAAACAGGAGACGTGAGTGATCAGTACTTTTTCTGAGCCCTAGATTTAATGGCAGAGAACAAGTCCTTTGAATTAAAAACCAAAAATGTGTTACAGTGGAGCATTACCATAAACATAGTGTTGTGTATGGTACAGTGATCACTGCAATGAAAAAGCTGTTAAAGAAGAGTAGTCGAGCAAGTTATTGGCACTGTGGTGCTTATTTTTACACTGCTCTTCGTCATTGTTTTCAAGCTAGGAGCATTTGGCCTTTATTTCACGAAACTTGTGCATACCATAGTTCAAATGCTTTCATTGTGCTTTGCAACCAAGCACTATTTCATTGGATTTTATTAAAGACCTGTCTGCAGCTGTGCTGCCACAAGAAAGAGCACAGTGCCCTCTAGTTACAGCCCGTGGAAACGGGGAAACATGCGAGTTGTGTAAACTTCAGTCTTGTTACTGTAACATCACAAAATTGTCTCCTTTTCCTCACTGTGTCAAACAAAGAAAAAAATCAGAAAAAGAACAGCCAAGAAAGCTGAGAGATTTAAAGCAAAGCTCTGTGTTTAGAGACATTTTGACAGTGCCTGAACATTGCCATACGAAAGCACGTCTCACTGCTGTTGCTTTATTTTCTTTTACAGGTTAGAATTTGTATTAACACAGCCAATAGACAAATCACCTTCTACTAATCAACTTTAGGCTTGATGTGCTTGGAAAGGACTTTAAAAGTAGCATCTGTAGCATTCCTAATGAGGTAACACAGTCTCACTGCACACTGAGCACTCCCTTTGCCGTTCTTCACATTGTCAGTCTGAATAAATCTCCAGCACAGGAGATGAGTGTGGACTCCATGTGTCATGTGTGGATCACAGCAGCAGTTGGATACCTCGCTACTTTGGAAAGCTTTGGGGTGTTTTAGAGTTTCAGATCAGTCTCAGGGTTTTTCTCTTTGCCTAGTGGGGCTGAGCTATTGCCTCAGACCCATGTGAATATGCTCTATTTAATTATTTGGCTCCTCATTTTTCCTGCTGATGTGAAATAATTATGAATCCACTACCTGCTAATGTGCCTTATGCACTTGTCATAAAAGCAAATATTGACTTGAAGCACAGTTCCTCTGGGGATACACTGGAGTACTGCTGCACAAATCTCTGGTCAGTTGTAGCACCTTAATTTTGCATTGGTATCAGTATAAAGCAGATAAGGTATTTCTAAGAGCGCATAGATATTATACCAAAAAATCTGATTTTTCTGGAAGAGGGTATCAGTAATCATGCTATAAATAACTAAAAATGAACTGTTGCTGTAAGCAGAATGACTAAGAGTATCAAATATGCATAGAAATAACTAAAGTTTCAATCACATAAGCATGATCCATGTGATCTGGTTTACATTTTCAGGAAGGGCTGTGTGGAATGGTTTCATTTTTATGTAAAAATGTTTTTAAGAAGGGTTATTGTTCCTAGATGGAAAAATGGTAGTGCACGTGACCTAAAAAGAGATTCAAGAGCATTTTAATTGATCCCCTTTCTTCAGTGAAGTAGGAAGGTGGTAAATAATTAGTCTTCCCTGAAGCATAATTAATAAGTTAGGCTTCTGATGAAACTTCATTTAAGCAGTGGTTTGAAGCAGACTTTTATTTGTTGCATATGTGCTTTCCCCTAGTTACCTCAAGCTATAACCACCTTACATCAGATAATCACCAATTAAGCCAATTTATATGTTTTTTAAAGGTCAGAAATAATGCCTCACAACGTTTCTCCAAGGCATGGAGCATCCAGCCCTATGAGTGACTCTTAGGATGGTCAGTTTGAAATGGTAGGATGAGAGAGGGATGCTTGAACTGGCCTTCCCTCCCCTCAAGCTAGTACTGACCCAAGTTCTGCAGCAAAGACTGTAATAACATTTCAGTTATCTATGGGGAGCCTTTCCATGCTCAAAACAGCCATCCCTTTTTGGTTTTATTCCAGAAGATGTGAACTCTGGTAACTGAGCCCTGGAGAAGTTTCTGCACTGTGAGAACACACACGTTTCACAGTGAACGTACTCACCAGGGCCGTGGGCTGAGATCCACCCCTGTGCTGACAGATGAAGTGGATCTATAATATTTTGAGCCTCTTTTCTTGCTATTTCTCCTATTGGGGCTAGGTAAAACGTCAGATGATTAAATAACACTGCATATAGGAAAAATAAGTGGCTTTTTTGTTCTATGACATTTCTAGGAGTGATAAAGACCACTTCTCTTTCTAGCTTTTGATTTTTGGAACACTGGATGGAGCTATCACTGGTGTCTGTATGATCCCAGCTGTTTTTCATACAAGCAAATATATGAAGTGTTTCATAGAACATAATGTAAAAAGTGAGATTTTTTTTCTTAACAGCTGTTTACAGCTAAAGGTGTTTTTTCTAGACAACTTGTTTCATTCTGTAGTAAAGTAATAAATACTGTGATCATGAATTTCTTGATAGCTTTTTTTGTTGAAAAACTAGGCAAATTAATGTCTTTATCAATTGAATTTCGAAGACAGGGTTTAACCCTAATTTTGGTTTTCTTCTCTTCAGAGGTTAAGCAAGCTGTGAAGATTCCTGTGCTGATTGGGTCTGGAGTGACTCTGGAGAATGTAGGGAATTACTTGGATGCAAATGCTCTAATAATTGGTTCGTATTTCAAGAAAGAAGGTTATTGGGCAAATGCTGTTGATCCTGACCGAGTAAAGAAATTTATGGAGCACATAAGTCCACTGAGGGAATGAGCTTGTCAGTAAACAGTATTTGCTTGTGTGAGTGTATAAATGCAGTACGGTAGATTGTACAGAGTTAAAGCACAAATGTGTGGCGGGCTGGTGAATAACATCAAATAAAAATGCACGACATCTCCATAACTAGCTGGGAAACACGGTGACGCTTTGCAGTGAACTGGTGCTCTGTTGGCTCCTAGGCAGCACATTTCTGGGGTGCTCAAAGCCATCATCCACGCAAACCCAATCCTGAAGGCTTGTGTGATATATCCTCTCCTATAACTGAAATTCTTACGGAGTTAAGGAATTTATAGTAAATATTTGTCACAGGTGAGCTGAGTTCTGTTTTGCCTTTAAGTACAATAGGATGCCCTAAGTTTACTGCTAAAAGTATTGTAAATTGGACAAGTTAATTAGGCTTTCAGTTTCCCCTTCTGTAAAATGATAATAGTACCTACATCACACAGGGGCTGTAAGATATAATGAATGAACGGGTGTACAGCACTTTCATCTCTTCAAATGAAGGGCTCTTTTAAAGTTCAAGATCATTATTTTTTCATTAGAATTGTGCATTTATTACAAAAATGAAGTGATTGTATGACACACAAAAGTTTAAGATAATTGGGATATTGATTTACTTACAATGCTTATTAGAGAATAAATGTAAATATTTAATTACACTTTAAGTGGAGTTGGAATTTAGTCAAAATGTTTTTGCCAAAATTGGAAATTTTAATAAAGGTTTATTATTTTCCAGCAAGTGCCTCCAGCTTTGTACCTCTCCAGACTAGTATTAGTGATATTAAAAACTGCCAAGTTCCTTCCAATACATGAGATAAAAGTATGATAGAAACCTTTCTGCCAAAGCTGATGGTTAAACACAGATTTTCATTTTTCCTGTAAAATACGGAGGAAAAATATTACTCTCACTCTCACAGTGTATGTTGTAAGAGATTCCTCTTGAATTTGATCTTTTAGCTCCAAGGAAGAGTCAAAGAACCCAAGGAATACCTGTTATGTCATGGCTGTATAAAATGTGGGCAAATGTTTTCATTCCTTGGGACTGGGAGTGAAGTTTGTCCTCTGGGATCTCTCTCTTTCCTTTGTGATGAAGCTTCAGCTGATGCTAATGGAAGTTATATTGCAAATATCAAAGCAAGTGTACAAACGTGTTTTTGTGTCAGCTGGCAGAGTGCCCATGCTGCTCTGAAGATTCCTGTGGCCTTACGGGGGTCAGGAATCTCATTCTAGCTGAAACCTAACCCAGTCTTGTACCAGCCATGCTTGTGGGAGTGGTGGGTGGAGAATTTATATCATCTTCCTCATTCCTTGCATCTACAACTCATGACTCCAGGCTACTGGTGCAAAATTATTTAAGGATCATGAAGATGCCCTCTAAATCTGTCTTGCTCACATTCATTCAGCCACAGCTTATTTACCAGGTCATGCATTGATCCAGTTTAGTCTTTAAAGCCTTAGCCTAAGTAATGAGTGCCAGTTTTATGCCCTCTATTATGAAAAACAGGACATTAAGTTAAAAAAAAAAAGATACCAGTAATATCACTGTGCTTAAATGAGTAAATGTGTTTGATCTTTGTGCATTTAGGACTCTTTTCAGGCCTTTCACAAGTTGTACAGTTTTCCATACATCATTGCACAGAAGATTTAATGAAGGTTGTCCCAGCAGGTACATATCCATATAATTGTTGCCAATTTGAAAGTTCCTTTCAGTAAACCTGTAAGCTGGAAAGGCTGACATGCAAGCAATGAGCACTTGCCAGTCGTAACAAGAGTAAAAATCTTCAAGTAGTCAGCTGAATTGATACACTGCTTGTTCAGTGTATTGATAGTTGTTCAGTGATGATAGTTGTTTTCAGAGAAACTGGTGACTGTTGTCAAAAGTCATGTTCATCACTGTGAGTGGGAAAATGTGTTACCAGTGTGGTTTTTGAACTGGTTTCTGCTTATTCCTAAAAACTCAGAAGTGCTTGAAACTCAAATGGATTTTCACCTGAATAAATCCAGTGGGGGTAAGTGAGAACTTCTTGAGTGCTGTATGCAAGGGGTAAAGGCAGTAATGTCATGTGCAGCAGTTGTTTAAGGCAGAGGCCCTAATGAGTTGGTGTAATACTCATAACATGCAGTCAGTGCTGTAGACAGCACTTTCACTGTCAGGATTTCATTTAACACACCACTGTGTAATACTTGTGGAAGGAGGCCATAATTTGGGTCTGTTTTCGTACATATGAGTGGCAAGTGCAGAATTTAGGGAACAGAAGTAAAGGAAAGCTGATTTTAAAGCCTGAAAACGTGACTGATCGCCAGCTCTACATCATTCTTTGTGCCAAAAGTATTTGTCTAGCAGCATAAAGCATCTGCTTGCCTGTTTCACACAGATGCTGTAAGTAGAATTTGACCTTTTGTTCAGAAAGTGTTTGAATATTTAACGCAAAAATATGAAGTTATCAGAAAGCCTGTCTCTTTTGGGAAGACTGTTCAATTTTTATACAGCCCAAGTTGTTAAAGTACTTTGGAGCATGAACAACTTCAGAGCAGAACAAAGCAGGCAGTGCTAATGTGTAGAAACTCCAGAAGTAAATAACAGCTGTTCAAGAAGACTTCTATTAAATATGTATTAATTAACTTGAAGTGCATCACTTAAATATGTGAAGAGATTATCTTGTGTTAATTTACATTAAAACACACAGCACTTGTTAGCCTCATTACACTATCCTAAGTATAGCCTAAGCTATCACCTCATCTTACATTGAGCGTTCTGTTGGGTGTTGATTGCTTTCAATTTGCCCTTTTAAAATGTCAGATAGTAGCCTCCATTTCTTGTTGGATCTCTTCTTTCTCTCAGATTTTGCTCTTACATGGTTACTGTTCTTACTTCTGTCTGTTCTGTGCTGAACAGAAAAAAAAACCCCAGCAATAGATTGTGAAAATATAACAGTAATTGCCCACCCAAACTTCACATGTGGTTCCTGCTGTTATCTTATGATCCCAACAGAGAGAACGTAAGTGTCCATTTGTGTAGCAAAATGACTTTGCATGAAGATTCAATATCACCTTTAGAACAGGAAAGATACCTAGTACAGTGGGGTCTCCTTAGTGAAATTACAGGTAAATAAAACTCACTGCTAATAATAGACTTTGTAGTCTAAATCAATGTATAAATCTTCATAAACTCTCATTCCATCCATAAAACTTGAATATTTTTATCTGTACTTAATATGACAAATGGATTTTTACCTGTTTTGGTGCTGAAAATATATAAACTTGTAAGATTTATGGGTAATTTTCAGAGATTTTCTTAAGTGCTATTTTGGCAACTTACCCAGCTTCTGGGGTGTTCTTTCATCCCACTATTTTGACTCTGCAGATTCCCTAATTACAACTTAGAGTCCAGTTCTTGTTTGCTGCACCTTTTCCAATGCACTGCTCACTGTGGGGAGACTGGGGAATCTAAAGAACTTGAGGGCAAGTCCTGGCAGAGCAGGAAGAGCAAAGGAAACCAAAATATTCGGCTTTAGCAAAGTCTTGAAGTCCATAACAGGTTGCTGCGTTTCATGGCTCCTCTGAGAGAAGTGAATGGGGATGTTTGCTGTAGTTTCAGGTTGTTTGCAGCCTCTTCAGCTAAGACTTCTGAGTTTGCACCTGGGGTGTGTTTCCAAGATCATCCCTGCTGTTGTGTGCTTAGGGAGATACTTTTTTCTAAGTGAAAGCTGATGTTTTGCAGGATAATTATGGCAGTATGGGAGGTGATACCTGTAGAAAAATCTAGACTTGAGATTCTCAGCTCTGTGGATCAAGAGCGGATTTAGATGTATATATCTCTAAAAAGAAACCTTTAAAGATCACTTACTACCTGTGCCTTTGCCCTGACAGTGTTTGCTGTGCTGAGGAACTTGAAAGTTGAGTTTAGGAACAGAACTGGCCGTGGCTTTTTTGTTGCGCATTAACAGTGCTTGTCTCTGTGACTTAAAGGACATATTTTTCAGAAAGGGTGGAGAACTGGGCTGAGATATTCCTGTTCTGGGCTGCAATGCCATGGTGTGTAGTAGAATTGACCACCCTTTTGCTGAAGATGTTTTCTGTAATATCCAACCTAAACCTCCCCTGGTGCAGCCGAACTAAAAGTAAGGCCAGACGGTTTCTAGTGAAATCTCAAGAGTAGTAGATGCTTTTTCACCCTAATTTTTAAATGCACAGATAATTTTCGGGAGAAAAAAGTCTTTCTTTCAATGCAAACAGGAAAGCCTTTCACGTGAGGCAGAAGGGTTGCAATTCACAACATAATCTGTTTCTTTGCTTACAGTTTGGATCTTTAGAAGTAGTAGAGCTAAGGAGAGCCTAAGATGTTCCTTGTTAAACACTTAAGGATAGGAAAAGATGTGTGAGGGTAATTATCTTGATTAAAAAATTTGTTCATCTTATATCAGGTATTTTTCAAGGTGTCAAGAAGGGATTTGCTGATTTGGGCTGAAATTCCCTATCTATGTTTAACTCCTGTCCTTCCTGTCACTGTCAGATTTTCGTTGTTTCACAAAATAAATTCAGTGTCATCAAATGTTAGTGTTTTACAGTTTCTTTTTTCAAAGGACTTCACTCTTCTTGAAATGAATGGGACAGAAATGCTGCTAGGTGCATGGATTACTGGGTTATTGAATGTTTTGTTTATTAAAATGCAATTTTTGCTTCTGTTCTACTACCTGTGCAAAGGGAAATGGAAAATCCATAATAGGGAGTAGGAGCTGATGAACTGGTGGGCACTTAGGACCTTTTTATTACTTAGTAAACGACATGAAGTGTAAAAGTGTAAGTTAAGTGTACAAGAAACTTTGCATATCTAAATATGCCAAATCTGATATGAAAACAACTGTTCAAGGTAGTAGTTTAAACTCAGAATTGTTTGACGTTGTGCCACAGTCACCCTATTAGATGTGCCATGTCATGCTGCTGTCAGAAAGAGGTCACAGAACAGAGGACACTGAAATCCTATTTCATACAAATGTAGGAGGAATCCCAAATTCAGCAGTAAACAAGGATGAAAAGGAAGGCAGCGCAGTAAAGGCAAGAAAAGATGCTTAAGTTTCCTGCAGTTCCTGCCTCATTGTTTATTCCAGCTTCCTGCTCATTCAGTCTGCTTCTCAAGCCTTTCTTGTGCATATACATAGATTATAGTATGCAGAAGACTAAGAATAAGCTGAAGGCAGAAACTGACTTAATGAAGACATTCTTGTGAGAGAGAAAAGATTTTGTTGTCCACAGATGCGCAAAGAAAAATAGAAAAGCAGCTGCCCTTAGAAATGGAGTAAAAGTAGAGCCGAGTGCCACGTCATGATGCTTTAGTCAGAATCTGATGTATTGAAAGTCTTTGAGAGCTTCTGTGCTGTTGTGCAGGGATATAACCGAGAGGTGAAACAATAAGCTTCTGTAAGTCTCGTGTCTTAGACACTGCCCGGAGTAGTGTTGACTTTTCGTCAACTTTCAGATGGCAAAGAAGGATAAAAGGAAATAGCTTTCAACTATTCTGTCATGGATGACAATGTTAATAATCAGTTCTGTGTCAAAAACTTCTGTTTCCTTAAGACCAAGCTATAGAGGTGTAGTCATGTGCTGCCATCTTTCAGAGGAGGCTTATGAAGGGCAGAGGTCCTCATCTCATTAGTTTCCATCTCTCCTCTGTGGGGAGTTACTTTGTCTTTTCTGAAAGCATT